TGCCTCATCAGCATTTGCAGTGTCATCAAACACTTATTAAGCACATATGGCCAGGTACTAAGCCAACCCCAAGGATAGACAAAAATGACCCTGCATGATCTCTTCCTTCAAGGAGCTGGCAATCTTAAAGGGATGATGGAAGCACAGCTTGATTCCTAGGGTAACTCTTCAAAGTCTATTTATTGCATGCACTATCAGCTAAAGAAATCCAAATAACCTATACACTTATAGGAAATATTCAAATCTCAAATAATTTAAAAATGTAAAATAAAAATCTGGTATACCATTTTTCTTCTGCCAATTTGGCAAAAATTATAACAATCAATGTTAATGCAGCACATTTAAATTCTCAAAAGTACCAACTAGAGAAACTTTTAAGAAATTTAGACACTTATTAAAAGTCTATATCTTTTAGTTATAAAATTTATTTGAATTTATTTTGAGAAAGCCAAAGTAAAGAAATAATCAGAAATGAAACAGATTTATATATAATGATGCTCACTATAACATTATTTCTAAAAGAGATGTAATATTATTAATCTAGTAATAATTGCCACATCATCTCTCTCTCTCTCTCACACACACACACACACATATATATTTAATAAGGTATAAAAAAACCTACAAAAATAATATATGCCTATTGAGAGCATCCATCCTTCAAGAGCAGTCATTAAAACTGTTCACAAATACTTCTATTTCTTTCCAGGTACAAAAAATATACTGTTCAATTATAATTAGGTATAGTTGTCTGATGGCAATCAGCAACAACAATATGGCTGTCTGGCCAAGAAAATGTAAGCAAAAGTGATAAATGCCATATCTGGGTAGGTGGACTAAGGGCCAATGTAGGATTTCCTATGTTCTTTCTTTTGTTCTCTTTTCTTTCACTCCATCACTGTGACTGGCAACATCCCTAATGCTAGCTGCTTCATCAGCCTATGATCTATCTACAGGGAGGAAGACCTAAAGTAGAAACCCTGTGGCATTTAGCATAAAATGTGGTGTGGATCAGAAACAAAACTTTGTTTTTTTGAGTCATTCACAAACGAAGGGAAATATGTGAATACTTACCAAAATTACAAACTCATAGCCCCTTCAGAAATTTATGCTCAGATACACTTGCAAAAATGTATGTACAATGACTTATGTAAAAGCTTACTCATTATAACACAGTTTATAATAGGAAATTAATGGAAACAACCATAGTCTTATCGGCAGGGGATTAATTGAAAACTTTTGGTACATTTATACAATGGAGTATTATGCAGCTGTGTAAAACTATAAGAAAAACTCTCCATGGGCTGTTTTGAAAGATTTTCCAAGTGAAAAGCAAGATGTTCTTATAAGTACAACTTTTGTCAGAATATATATTCATATGTGCTTGCATAAAATCTTGGATAATAAGTAGTAAATAAACTGAAATCATTACCTTGAGAAAGGATTAAGAGAGTGACTAGGTAAAGCTTGGGATTTTTCAGAGAAAAAAACCTTGGTGTTGTGCTTAACTTCTCTGTTTATTTCATCTAAACTGGCATCATATCACGTCATGAGTATAAACTACATATTTTTGCTTCCATTTTAAAAACTATAATCTGCTCCTTCTTTAAACTCTGGCTCTCTTTCTCCTCTTGACCACTTTTTTCAATTGTCCATTACATAACCAGTTTTAAGAATATTCTTACCATTTTTTTTGCTCTCATTCAATTAATACCATTTTTCTCTCTTATTCGATTAAGTAGCAATAGTTCTTATTTACTCTCAAATTATATCTTCTTCTGAATGAAAAACTTTAATGAAGAGAAATTTAGAGGTTTCCAAGCTTTGGCAACTGTTTCAGCTGCTCATTTTAAAGTCCTGTATTGATAGCGACCCTTTGAACAACAGACCTGAACTCTGTCCTACACAGCCGTCCTCATCACCCCTGACAAACTTAACCCCTGCTGTGGTGACTGCATCAATCCATCTCGCTCGGGCTCTTTTGCTGACACTCTACCTTTCCAAACCTAATGTCTCTTTCCAAGAAATAGCCTCACCTAGCAGTTGCTCAAAAGTATGTGACAGTTTCATCATGTGACTATCCTTGCCTCAAAAGAATATTATTTCTTAAAAGAAAAGTCAAAGCTTAAACTTCATCTGTTCCAATATATTTTTCTTTCCTTTTTAGTCCTGTTATCTGATTTACTTTCCTTTATGAGAAGTAAAAACCCTTACTTCTGAAAAATTAAAGATAAAAACGTCATAAATATCATGACACTGACTCCATAGATGTTCATTCTAAATGTAGATCAATATATTTCCAATGTTTGGCAGCACCATCCACAGAAATATTTTTAGCGTATACTCCTCAATATATTTATAATGATATGTTGTAGTTGTTGAGTGCCGTCGAGTCGCAGGCGACTCAGTGACCCTATGAAGGAGAGTCCTCAACGCTTGGGTGTCTCTCATCCTCTCTCCAGGTTCAGAGGGTTTCTGAAGGCAAGCTATTACAGAAGTGGATGCCACTCCTGCTTCCAAGTTATAATTATATACAGGTACAATTATGTTAATATTTAAATTACACCGCCATTTAGGCCACCAGAGCCCCCTAAAAACTAAATGCAAAAATCATTAAAATGTTTACATTTTAAACATATTTTATTTATGGCACAAAAATAGTATAACTGATTGCTCATAAATTCCCATAGCTCTCAGGGACCCTCCCTCAGGTTTCCAAGGCTGTAAATTGCCAAAGGGGGAAGGGGGAGATACAGATTGCACATCTTTCTCCCCTGGAGTCACTGGTGGATTCAGAGAAGTGCAGCCTTTGAATTAACAGTGCAACTCTCAACAGACTACACAATCACTCGGAGATTGGGCTGAAATTAATGTTAGTAAATAGCAAAAGAGAAATATCTTTAAATAGCGAGTTCAAATATCAGTCATCATTTTCACGTGAAAAAACTTTTTCCAATATTAATGGTCTTTTTTCACATTTTTAAAGTAGGCAATTATAAATTGGTATAGATAAGATTCTTTCAGATAACAAAGGAACACACACATACATGCTGAAGAACAAATGGAAAGAAAAATTTCCAGACATCTGTGTCAAAAATATTTTCCCCAAAACCAATTTCCTCTAGAATGCTGCTACCTTTACATACATAATAAAAACATCATCTTCACATTGAAGAACTACATTAAGTGTGCTTGTATGAAGCTAGAGCAACTAAATCTAAGTAAAAGTAACAATGGAATACAAGTCATACAACAAATTAACAATCCATGAGTTTACATTGATATTACCTAATTAATTACTTAGGGAAGGGAAAGTATATCTCTTACTTAGAGTAGAATATAGGTAATTAACAAAGAAACAAAAGTAAAGCCCACTGTAGAAACAAAAACAAAGCCTCTCCCAGCCATCAAGCCAGTTATAGCTCAGGTGGCCTCAATGGGGTTCCCATGGCTATCAATATCAACAGGAAGAGACAACCCACCTACCTCCCTCGGACTAGCTGCTAGATTGCAGCCACTGGTCTTTCACTTAGCAGCACAACACTGTATGCACTATACCAATTAATGGAGAAAGGATAAAAGGAAAAGAAAATTACCATTTGGCAGCCACCACACTGGTGGTTATCAATGGAAGGTTAGCTAGTGGGGTGGAACTTGATGAGGAACAAGTCAGTAGCAAAGTCTCAGAAAATCTCACCACAAACAACTTGATTACAAGGGGGGAAACTGGGCAGATACAAACTCAGTTGATTAAAATTAACATTAAAAATGGTGAGATAGGATGATACTGTATTTCCTGACATGATGCACTGAAAAGCACACAACATTGTTTCTACGTAACTTCTGCTATGAAAGCGTGGAAGACCTGAGACTGGGCATGAAGAACTGTCAGATGAACCCAGATTGAAAAAACATGTTACAAAATGAACGTGTTGTCCTATTTAAAACTGTCAAAAACATTAAAGACAGTAAAAGACTGAGGAACTATTTCTGACTGGGGGAGACTAAAGAGACAAGAGAACTAGAAACAATGTGTCATCCTGGATCGGATCCTGGATTGGAAAGGAAAAAGAGACATTGTTGGGACAGTTGGCAAAATTTGCATAGAGTCGTGATGATACTGCTGCATCATTGTTTCCTGGTATCAATGGTTATACTGTAATTATATAGGGAAGTAGTCTTTATTAGAGGAGTATTGTATGGATATGGATGATAGAGCATTACATCTACCACTTCTCTCAACTAGTTTAGGAAAAGATTGATCACGACTAGGGGAAGGTGATGAAATATATGTGGTGAAATGTTAACAAATGAAGCATCTAGTTGAATGGGAAATGGGAATTCATTCTGTTACTGTTTTGTAACTTTTCTCTAAATTTGAAATTATTTAAAAATACATTCTATTAAATTCTATTTCTAAAGCATCTATGTGCATATATGAGCAAGTTTGCATTTTTAACATATACAAGTACTCTATTACTGAAAATCAATTGTCATAACTTAAAATCGTGCTCCCTACATAAAGACTGATTATTCCTACTGACATACAGAGAAGGATACTCCAAATTCACAACACTGAGAAAGAAATATACTTAGCTTTGCTCTTACTTTTTCACCTTGCTTCAAGGCTTAATGTATTGATATTTTGTAAATTAAATTAAGAAGTCCCTAGAAACTTCTGCACAGAACTGACCTAAGAAGTCTTTAAATAGTCCTTTCTCTTAGATGAATTAAAATAGCTTCAAGGTGACAATGATACAGAAAATATGCATGTAGCTTCACCTTCAAGCCCTCACCCACCAGGTCTATCTGATGTTCAATAATCTGCAAACAACAAAAGAAAGCCAACGGCCTGTCATCTCCCAGCGAGGACTGAATTTTGCACTCCCAGAGCACACTGTAAAGAGATGACTAATCACTGCCTGCTTCTCTGGCACCATATGTCTCTCAATTTCAAATGGAGGATTATCCCAATTAGTATTAGAACAACAGAGTCCTACCTCTTGCAGTTGGAGTCGAACTTTGGTAACTGCTCGGATCCAATGTGCTCTGGCTTGGGTAAATGGTGAAGACGCGTTCTCCTCAGGAAAACTTGGAACAAAGAAAAGAAAGTTCCTTTAAAATAGCCAAGGGAGGACTAGCAATAAGCAAAGCAAACACAGGCTTACTTGTACTTACTTACTAATCTGTAATGAACAGTTTCACATTGATTTGCCACACAGTGAATAAGACCGTGGTTACTACCTTGCTCACAGAGTATTCTATCCCTGCCAAGGGTAGTAAATTTGAAATGAGGCTTTGATGTGAGGTCATCCTGAGAGGTGCTGTGAGGCTGGAATAGAGTAAGATGCTAGCCATATTTAAAAGCAGAATCTTTGATGTGAAAAAAAATTTTTTTTCATTACAGATTATAGTAAGTAAGCACAAGTTAATATATGCTTTTTACCTTACTTATTATTGAACAACCTGACAATGACAAAGGCTAAAGTCACAAGGTGAGTGATCAAGAGAAGACTGCAAATATTTAAAATAGTTTGTACTCATGTCAAGATCTGTTGTTTAGTGGTTGTGATCACTAAAGCATCATCAACCTGAATATGCAAAAGGAAAAATAATTCCACACTAAAATGACAGTTCCTGTTAACTTTTCCTCTACTGTTTCTCTTCCTCCCCTGCCCCCTTCATTTGCCCAATTACGAACTCACTGGGACAATTAGCGATCAGGACAGCGTTCAGGAGAAGCAACTGCAAGGGCTCTAAATCCATGTCTACTGTTGCAACTATGGAAGCAAGTGTGGAGTCGGATTTTTTTCACCCTCTTACTCAACCTCTCAAAACCACCAACCTCCCTACGGCTCCTGCACCAGCCTCCCTTAGGGCTCCTGCACCAACCTATACAAGGGCTCCTGCACCAGCCTCTGTAAGAGCTCCTGTACCAGCCTCCCTTAGGGCTCCTGCACCAGCCTCTGTAAGGGCTCCTGCACCAGCTCTGTAAGGGTTACTGCACTAGCTTCCCTGAGGGCTTCACTCTTGGGGCAGAATGTCCTTTTGCCCTTGTTTTATCAAGTCTTTTGGAAGACTTATCATTTCCTAGATTCTATGGAAAAGGTTCCACCTTCTTAACTGGGGAATAGTATCTAATGTTTCTCCTTTCTCTACAAGGGCCTATACCCAAAATAGTAGACAACTGTCTATGATCCAGCCATAGAAAACATGCGCTAGGATCTGACAGCACCTAACTAGATCAACTACTCGAAAATATTTGTGAGCACTCCCAGGCAAGGTAGAATCAGACTTATTCACACAGGTGAAGCCTGGGAAGGCAAGGAATAGCAGGAAAAGCACCTTCATGGGGCATTTCTGCTGCTCTGCCTAGACCTCCGGCCTTGGCAACACTGTCTTGCTAAGTGTAAGATCCATGAAGAACCATTCTTCCGGCAGATCACAAACTCAGTGGGGAAACTGACCTGGAGCTCAGACTCCTAGGTGACTTGCCTATCAGATGAGCCATAAGAGATGACCAAAAATTAGTAAAGAAAAAAGGAGAAAAAAAGATATTTACATCATCAGAAGATTCAGCCCTTAATTCAGGGGTAAACATCAATCATTCCCTAACAATTACCATGTAATTAACATTAACTGCTCTGTTCTTTCTGTGAATGGCTTTATTGTTATGCCTTAAAAGTTGAGAATCTAAGGCACTCCTAATCCTTAGCACTCTACCCCAACTGGTGGCAGTTCTTCCCCCACAAGAGACACTTTAGCAACATCTGAAGACATTTTTTATTGTCACCACTTGAGGCTAGTCTGGCACACAGTGACTTCTTCAAAAAAGGAATCATCTGGCCCCAAATATCAACAGTACTAAAATTGAAAAGCACTGCTGTGTTTCAAGCTACAGCTATTCAACTGATGAATTTAACTCAAGTTTCCATATTTTGTCATGGGTACCAAGTGCAGAGCTGAGTGTCCCATGACCACCATCATACTCAGCTGCATGGGGGAAAATGGGCTCACCAAGTTGTGCCAAGAAATCTGGAGAACAACCACTTGGCCAACTGACTGGAAGAGATCTATATTTGTTCCCATTCCAAAGAAAGGTGACCCAAC